AATGAGTCAATTTCAGAAACTGAAAAAATAGAAAAGAAACACACAACTTGTAATCAACTAGAGTCAGCTTATTAACTTAAATAACTACCACAACACATTCCCAATATCAAAATCAAGTTACATCAGTCTCTTTTGTTTTCTCCATACCAGTAGCATCTTTGGTTAAGCCGTCTTCTTTTTGTCTCCTCACTGAGACGCCATGTGTTCCCACCGGTTTTTCCCACTTCTCCTAATGAGCCAGTGATTTATTGTTGTTTTCTTTGATTTTTTTTCTTCAGTGGTGCGCCAATCTAATACCTCCGCCAAGAACGGCAACCGAAAGTGAAACTGTTCCTGCTGGTTTCCCTTGTGCTACATAACTCTGGTTTAAAGATGACCCTTAATTCCCATTTCTGCCCTCTGCTCCGAGCCCCAGCTCAACATTGACAAATCATAATTTGTCTCATAGGGCTTAACAAGGTGTGACATCCACCCTCAAAAAGAATACATAGAGGAGGTAAAAAACAAAGAAACCTCAGACAGAGCCACATGTAAGGGATCCCTCTCCTAGTACAGATTGTAATGGGTATGGTTTGAACCCAAATGCAGCACAACAAGCGTGGAAAGTTGGTAACAGTCTTTATTCTTAGCGTAGCTCACAGCAGATCAGGTCATCGTCGGGTGGGCTGGTCTGGGTGTTGCCGATAGAAGTCAGCAATGAGATGGGGTCCCAGGATGTAACAGGCAGGAACCCATGACCTCTCTTCTGGCCCGTACCCCTCCCAGTCGACCAGATACTGGATGCCCCTCCCACGTTGTTCAGGAACGGATCACATGTCGCACAGTGTAGACAGGACCTCCATCAACAAGGCGAGGAGGCGGAGGAGGAGGAGTAGCGGGAACCAGCGGACTCTCTTGAACAGGGAGCTGGAGCCGGACCGCAGCTGGGTTGAGGATCTTCTGGATCTTGAAGGGACCAATAAACCTGGGCGCCAGTTTCTTAGAGTCGACCTGCATTGGAAGGTCCTGGGTTGACCACCACACCTTTTGGCCGACCTGGTCAGACACCACGTCATCAGGAAGGCCGTGGAGGTGAAAGAAATGCTGGAGAACCAGTTCAGCCATTTCCTTTGCCAAGGGGAGGGGAGGGGAGGTTGAAGGAGTCCAGCAGAGGCCTGATGGGAGGGTTTGTGTTGGCTGCAGACCGGGCAAGCCTTGACAAATTCCTATGTGTCCTGGTCCAAAGTGGCCTACCCCAACGTCAGAAGCATCCACCTCCACCACAAACTGTCTGTCAGGGTCTGGCATGCAAAGGATGGGGGCAGAGGTGAAGCGGGCTTCGAAGGCTGCAGCGGCAGGAGAAGACCAGCTGAAGGGGATCTTGGAGGAGGTAAGGGCAGTGAGGGGCTGCCATCGTGCTGTACCCACGGATGAAGCGGCGGTAGAAATTGGCAAAGCCAAGGAACCTCTGTAGCTGCTTCCACGACTCAGGGATGGGCCAGGCGGTGATAGCGGAGACCTTGCTGGGATCCATCTGGATGCTCCCCTGGCTGATGACGGACCCCAGGACGGCGACCGAGGAGGCATGGAACTCGCACTCTGCCTTTACGTAGAGGGAGTTCTGCAGAAGTCATTGGAGGACCGCCTGGACATGGTGGAGGTGATCCCCCTTGGTTCTGAAGAAGATGAGAATGTCATCCAGGTAGACAAAGTCATATTTGATGAGCATGTCACGGAGCACATCATTTACAAGGGCCTAGAAGAAAGCAGGGGCGTTGGTAAGGCCAAAGGGCATGACCAGATAGTCATAATGCCCGGTGGAGTGTTGAAGGCCGTCTTCTACTTGTCCCCCTCACGGATGAGGACCAGGTAGTAGGCATTGTGGAGGTCTAGTTTAGTAAAGATGGTGGCCCCATCCAGGAGCTCGAAGGCTGATGTTATGAGAGGGAGAGGGTATCGGTTCTTCACCGTGATGTCATTCAGGCCCCGATAGTCGATGCAGGGCCTCAAGGTCTTGTCCTTCTTCTCTATGAAGAAAAACCCTGCACCAGCAGGGAACGAGGACGGGCAGATGATGCCTGCTGCCAGGGAGTCATTGATGTATGCCTCCATGGCCTTTCTTTCAGGTGCAGACAGAGAGTACAGACAGCCTCGAGGTTGACTGGTGCCAAGCTGTAGGTCAATGGCACAGTGATAGGGACGGTGAGGGGGCAGAGAGGTGGCCTTGGCCTTACTGAAGACCTCTCAGAAGTCGTGGTACTGTGGCGGAACCCCGGAGAGGTCAGGAGATGGGATGTACTGGACCGGGGCTGTGGGGCTGAGGCTTGCTTCAGGCAGACTTGATGGCACCCGGGACTCCACCCTAGGATGGACCCCATCGCCCAGTTGATGTGGGGGTTTTGACTGCGGAGCCAGGGGTACCCCAGAATGAGAGGGATGTGACGTGACTTCAGGATGTGGAAACTGATAGTCTCATAATGGTTCCCGGAGAGGAGCATCCGCATGGGTCTAGTCTGGTGGGTGACGGTCCCCAGAACATGACAGTCCAGGGCACTGGCAGGGGCTGGCAGGGGCAGTGGAACCCTGTCCATGTCAAGCTGCTGTGCCAGTTCGTCGTCAATGAGGGAGACATCTGACCCAGAGTCAATGAATAAAGTCAGGGTGTGTGTGCCCCCTGCCAGCAGTAAGTGGGCATGGCAGAGAGGTCGCCTTTTGGGTAACAGTTCAGAGGTTGGACTTACCAGTATTTTCCCAGCTACCTGTGAGTCCGGGCTTTTACTGGACAACACGAGATTAAGTGACCGGCTTGGCCACAGTAAAGGCAGAGGTTCCCCTGGTGGCGGTGCTGGCGTTCCTCCGATGAGAGATTGGTTCTGCCGACCTGCATGGATTCAGGCTCCCCTCACTGTGGCGCAGTCATGGAAGTTGGGCTCTTTGAAGAAGAACGAGGCTGGGCCGGAAAGCATTGGTTGACTCATCCTGGTTGTCTCTCCCCACGTCGGACCTGGATACGTCGATCAAGCCGTGTCGCCAGTTCGATGAGCCCATCCAGTGAAGTGGGGAGATCATAGGAGACCAGCTCGTCCTTGATGTAATCCTCCAGGCCCAGAAGGTAAGCATCACACTGGGCTTCAATATTCCAACTGCTGTGACCAACTGCTCAGCAGACCCCCAGTGGAATCCGGACCCTGGGAGTACTCCCCAAATACCTTGCGGAGCTCGGTGGCGAAGGCTTGAAAGGAGATGTAGGCTGGAGTCTGACGCTCCCACTTGGCGGTTCCCCACAGGCGAGCCCTCCCAGTGAAGTGGTTGATGGTAAAAGCCACCCTGGTCTCCTCAGAAGCAAAGGTGTGCGGCTGCAGGGTAAACAGGATCGAACAGTTTGTGAGGAAAGGATTACAGTTCTCAGGATCCCCCGCATAGCGTTCCGGGGCCCCCACATGTGGCTCAGAGAATGGCCCAGGGGACGCTGGCGGAGGTGTAGCAGAGGAGGACGCTGCAGTAGGGGCTGGAGATGTCATCTGTGAAAGGACAGCAGTGAGTTGCTGTACTTGTGTGGCTAACAAAGCTAGCCCCTGCTCCTGGCTAGCAGCTGCTGGCTTCTGGGTGGCAACAGCTTGATGTATCCCTGCTGCGGTGGAGGTGAGCAGAGCCTCATGCTGCTAAAGAATGTTCTCCACACTCTCCAGGCGTGACTATGGTGACGCTGTGTGCGCTGGGTCCATGTTGTGGCCAGATTGTACTATAACGGGTATGGTTTGAACTCAAATGCAGCACATCAAGCGTGGACAGTTGGTAACAGTCTTTATTCTTAGCGTAGCTCACAGCAGATCAGGTGGCAGGCAATACAAAAAGCAAAAAGGCATAAGACTTGGTCGGGGACGGAAGGCAGAGGTGATTACCAGGTTTCAGACGAGGCAGGTTAGTCAGAGACAGGCAGGGTCGGCAACAGAAAATCAGTCCGGAGATGAGTGCTGAATAGTCTGGCATCAAGGTGTAGAACAATCTGGCAACTGACTGAGAGTGGAGCTGGTGAATATATACCGGGCTGATTGCAGGTGATGAGGAGCAGCTGTGTTGGGTTGTAGAGAGGGTGTGGCTTGGCTGGCAGATGAAGCAGAGGCAGAGTCCATGGAAAAGTACTGAGAAGTGGGAGGATGGGAGACTGACTGTGACACGGACAGAAATGTATGAACTACATGATAACTATTATTGACTCATTTTAGATTTAAATCCCAATACCTAAAAGTCTTTATGCTTTTAGTCTTATTCTATTGCTGCATTTCAGAACATGAAGAAAAATAAAACTAAGGGCTGGTTCACACCAGACTACTGGTGCGGACCTAACATCTGCTCTCCGGTCCGCCTCACAGAGGTGGTCTTGGACTGCTGTCAAGTGAACTCTGGAGTGATTCATATCTGGCGTGACACTGTTCAAATCAATAACAGGAAGCGTAACAGTATATCTGTCATTTCATTGGTTTAAAAATGTTTTCTCTTCCTATTTCAATGACCCGTGAGCTACCACATCGTTTGCTACCAAAATGTCAACTGGCAGGGGTAAAACGTGGACTCAGGACAAAGTGAGATGCCTCCTGGATATTTGTGCTGAAGAGAACATATCACGATTACAAGATAAGGTGATTAAGAACATAAAGGTATTTGAAATATTTAGCAAGAAAATTAAGGCGAGTGGATTCCGGCAAACTATTTATCGATGTTGAGTGAAAGTAAAAAAACTGCATTAACAGTACATCAAAGTATGTGAAGCTTTGCAGAAAAGTGGTAGCTCTGCATATGTAAAGTACAAATTTGTTCTAAATCAAAACCAGCATGAACAGAAGCTGACAGGGCTCCATGATGTAATTGTTTTTTTACACCAATTAAATGATCAATTATAGAGCAACATTTGCACCACATGACTTTTGTTTACACTTTCTGGGCTAAAGCCTTATCATACATATATTTGGAATGTTCTAATACCATCATCATTGAGAGACTCCACTGACATAGCTCTGGTCCTGAAACTGAGGGAATCTGTGGACTGGGACAGGATCCTGCGCAGCCCCAGTGGAGAGCCATCGATAAGGGTCCTACAAAACACACACACACACACATGGATGAAAAAAATACGTTTGGAACTATGTAACTTAAGCATCAGTTATATTTTTGGTCCTGGATGTTAAAAGACTTTAAAAAACTCCTTACAGATTTTAATGACATCTAGTGGAAAGACTTGGGCCGAAAAGAGAGATATTATATTTTGATAGTGCTTGAACTCCTGGTGGTATATTTTGATATAGCACATGTGGCAGGTAGTTGTCTCTGGGCACTTAAGAATTACAATTATTATTTTGTGACTGGCCCAAATATGTCACTTGTCAAGTATTTTACTGTTGAATAAACCCATGCAGAGTCTTCAGGCTGACACTTAAATGTCATACTATCACAGATGAGTGAAACTATCATCTGATTCTTTTCTATGATTATTATTGTTTTCTTCAATGCAGTAATATAACTGTTAGTCAGTTGAACAAAATATACTGTAATCAAATATACTTCAGAAAATAAAAAATGTAGATATAGACTTTTTCAGTCAACAGGGTGGGTTCAGTGAAGTGGTTTAATTGGAAGCCCCTAACAAAAGTGGGCAAACAGGAAGACAGGCATGGAGGCAGGAATCGATAACAGGTTACCAGTTAGAACATAAGCAAAATAACCACAAAATCTCTAAACATCTTGATTGGTGTCTTCTTTGTATGTGGCAATACCTTTTTCATATTTTTGTGTTCATGTGTTTTGTTTTCGGGTCCATTGCAAGGAGACTGCAGGGACTCTCACTCAGTGTGTGGTAGAAGAAACAGAAGGCAGCTGTGAACTGAACTTGTTAAAGAAACAGCTCAGCTCATTTACTCTCTCCAGGCTGCCTGATGTCTGCCTGTCTCTCGCCTCACACTTTCAGGTACTTTCAAGTCGCTGGTGATCCATGGCTTGTTGTTTAGGAAGCAGCCTACAGTCTGGTCTGGCTTGGTGTGGTTTTCAAAGAATGTGATAAAGTGACTAATTAGCCTCCTAAGTCCATCTTCTCACAGTGTGTACAGGCTGCTGCTGGACAAGAGGGACATACTTTGGGTACAGCAGGACAAGGTTTTGATTGGATCTGCCTGGTGGGGGAGGACAGTAGGATTTGTAAACAGGAGGTCCAGTGTTTTATTGTCTGTAGTGGGGCAGTAAACACCCTGCTATAAGTTTGGTAGTGATTTGTCCAGTGTTACATTAATAAAATCCTCCAGATTCGGCCATATAAGGGTAAAAAAGAACTGGATGGATGTGCATGTAGCTGCTGATGTGCATGTAATGGAGGATCTGCTCTATTTCCTGAGCATTGGTTTCACCTCTCGGTGTCACAAGACACTATCCAGAGCCGGTTCAGACCTCGATGGGGCCCTAGGCAAAATTCTGCTAAGGGGCCCTCCTCACTGAACCTGACACCCAGTGCTTCCATTCACCCCCCCTTTAAACATATTGATAAGGCAACTTCAGCTCCATCAAATCGGCTGCACTTGTTTTATTTTCATATACTTCAAATGTATGTGATTGTTTATATTATTATTTAATTATTATTTATTCAGCACCATTGTCATAATATTTCACGAGTTTTATTTATTCACTAAGATATCTGCATCTATATCTGCCTGTGGGCTATCCAAGCAAGCAAAATTCAATCTTAGTCAATATTTATCCATTACTTTCCATTTTGTATAAGTGCAGTTGTAACTATACTACAACTAAAATTATAGAAGCCAGCAAGACGCACACGTTCACCCAGGACTCACCGCCCTGTTAATGTCGGTTAAACACGGACTAGTCCCTCCCACTCTCCCCGGTGGGGAGAGTTACCTGACTGCTGTTCTCGCAGTTCATTTTCATGCTGTTTCTTCCTCTTTTTTTCATTCCCCGAGTGATAACTCTGCTTCATCTTGCTGGGCTGATGCACATGCACTGGGAATCTGACGTCCGCGATGGACGGTCATGTTGCCACGTTTTTTTGTTTTTTTACACAGGCCTCTATTAGTTTGCGGGGCTCTATAACGTGCGTAGTGTGCGAATTGGGTGAACCGGAACTGACACTATCTAACATTACTTTATTGGGGACAGAACAACCATTAATCACCTATTATTATTTACTGTTTTATTAATTACCCTTTAAATTTGTCACTAGCTACTTATTATTCACTATGTGTCAATATGCAGTATTAATGTGTCATGGGTGAATTAATTGACTTATGATTCATTATTCTCTGCATAATTATTCACAAGGCTCAATTATTTCATTTTTACTCTAGGTTCTAAAAGTATAAGTAATACAGGATACTGAGACATGAGTGCATGTCTCTGTGGGCTGCTTTTTGCTGTAAAAGCAGTTTTGAGAGCCTAAGGCATACTAAAAATGCCATACCAGTTGGGCTAGAAAGGAGACGTCCCTCGCATCTGCCTATGGCAGATAATGAAGGCTCTGCGTAGGCTGTATGATTTGCATGTGTCTGAAGTAGATGCTGCGCAGATCTTTCTGAGGTTATTTATTGCTGCAGGCTTCTCTTCTTTTCAGGGTTGAGAGTTGATGGACAGTAAATCATAAAAAGACCCTTGGCTAAATCCACCCCAACAGAGTAACATTAAATCAAACCAGTGTTATATTGGCACCTGTGATAACCAAAAACATTTCACATGGGAGGTCAAATCACAGAAAAAGAAAAAAATCCAGTTATTATGTTCTCTTTGATGATCCTTGATCAGCTGACCACATTCATTTCATCGTTTAAACCCACAACTTGTATTTTAGATCCCATTCCTACAAAGTTGCATCAAGAAATTCTGCTCCTAATCAATACTGAATATAATGAATCTATTTTAATTATCAGGATATGCACCACAGTCCTTTAAACTAGCAGTAATCAAACCCCTTCTGAAAAAACTACAGACCAATATCCAACCTCTCCTTCCTGTCCCAAATCCTTGGAAAGGTTGTAGCCAATCAGCTGTGTGAGTTTCTCCAGAAAAGTAATGTAGGTAAAGACTTTCAGTAAGGGTTTAGAGTTCATCACAGCATGGAGACAGTGTTGGCAAAAGCCACTAATTACTTTCTAATAGCTTCAGATCAAGGGTTTGTGAGACTAGAACAGTGAATTTGCATTAAAGGAACTGCCCTAAACTAGTTTAAATCCTACTTTTCAGATTTATTCCAATTTGCGCAAATTAACATGAGTCATCTGTGTGCACCTAAGTTAACCACGGTGTTCCTTAGGGTTCTATCCTCTGCCCAATTTTATTCTCACTATATACGTATGCTTCTACTAGGAAATATTATCAGGACAAAATTTCCACTGCTATTTGGATGATATCCAGTTATACCTATCAATAAAACAGCGTAATCAATTAACTAAACTTATGTCTCAAGGACATAAAAACCAGGATGACCCGCAATTTTCATATAAAACAGAGGTACTAATACTTGGCCCTAAACAACCTTAGAGATATATTATATAATAGTAAAGCTGTGCTAGTTGACATGGCCCTTGCTTCCAGTGAGTTATCTTTGATCACAATTTGTCCTTTAATTCTTGTCATGGTTACACACTCACAGCATTTCCTGTTTCATGTTTTGTGTCACTTCCTGTTTTACTATGATACTCACGCTTATCTCTGTCTATTTAGGTACTTCACTCCTGACCCATTGTCTCACTAATTACCTTCCCCTCTGTAATTTGTTTCAGCTGTCTAGTTAACTTCAGTTAGTATATATGGTCTGCGTCTCCCTCTGTCCTGTGCCAGTTTGTCTTGTACGTAGCTTACTAGCGTTTTTCCTAAGTCTTGTTTCATGTTTTTTGACCATGTTTTGATCACACAGGACTTTTTTGTGGGAAAGAAGGATGGCTCAATATGCAAGTGCATTGACTACAGAGGACTCAATGCCATCATCCATGAAAACAGGTACCCTCTCCCTCTCATCTCCTCGGCCTTCTTAAAGGAGCCAAGTTATTCACCAAACTTGACCTAAGGAATGCTTACCACCTGGTTAGGATCAAGAAAGGAGATGAGTGGAAGACTGTGTTTAACACCCTCAGTGGCCACTATGAATATCTGGTAATGCCCTTGGTTTAACCAACGCACCAGCAGTTTTTCAAGTCCTGGTAACTGATGTTTTGAGAGACATGCTTAACCTGTGTGTTTTTTTTTTATTTGGACGATAAACTCCTCTTCTCCCCTGAAGAGGAGAACCATGTCCATCATGTCCGCTGGGTACTGAAGAGACTTATGGAAAATCAGCTATTTGTTAAAGCCGAGAAATGTGAATTTTATGTGTCAACCACTTCTTTCCTGGGTTACATTATTTCTGAGGGAGAGATGAGGATGGATCCAAGCAAGATTCAGGCAGTCGCTGAGTGGCCTCTGTCCCGATTAACCGTAAGTACGTGCAGCATTTCTTGGGGTTATAGAACTTTTATAGAAGATTTATCAGCAGAAACTTTTGTACTGTGGCTGCTCCTCTCCATGCCCTCACCTTGACTAGAGTCTCTTTTAGTTGGACTCCACAGGTGAATCAAGCTTTCCATGAGCTGAAGAGACGTTTCACTCAAGCTCCCATCCTCATGCTCCCGGACCCCGCATATCAGTTCATTGTGGATGTGGATGCCTCCAGTTTTGTAGCTTGGTGGGGGCCAAGGCCAGCCTCTGTTCAGTTTATTAACCTTAGTCTAACGGACAGACTGAGAGAATGAATCAGGAACTGGAGACAGGTCTTCGATGCCTGTCTGCACAGAATCCCCCGTCCTGGTCCAAGCACCTCATCTGCATTGAGCATGCACATAATTTATTGCCAAGCATTTCTACTAGTCTTTTCACTGTGTGTTTGGTGACCAGCTGCCTCTGTTCCCGGCCCTGGAGAGGGAGGTCATGGTCCTGTCAGTCCTGGTGTTGGTTCAGCTGTGTTGTAACGCCTGGTATAGAGCCCATCAGACACTGCTGAGGACTTCCCAGTCATACAGGAAGTTGGCTGACCATCGAATCACTCAAGCTCCAGGGTACAGGGTCGGGCAGAGGGTCTGGCTGGCAACGATGGACTTCAACATTCCCGGAGTACCCCATAAGTTGGTGCCATGCTTCATGGGTCAATTTCCTGTGTCCGAGGCTATTAATCCTGTTGCTGTGAAATTGAAGCTCTACATTTCCCTTAAGATACACGCCACCTTCCACGTTAGCCACATTAAACCCATCAAGGACAGTCTACTGGTTCCCGCCTCCAAACCCTCTCCTCTCCCCCGATTCATCGACAGCATTCATTCTACAAGGTTAAGAAACTCCTGGCGGTTCCCAGTCAGTTTGTAGACTGGGAGGGATATGGACCCGAGGAGCAGCCATGAACTTTGACCAACACTATAATGGACCCACATCTCATCAGGGACATTCATGAGTCATGTACCGGAGTCGGCCCTTAGGGGGGTACTGTCATGGTTACACACACACTGCATTTCCTGTTTTACTTTGATACTCACGCTTGTCTCTGTCGCTTTAGGTTCTTCAAACCTGCCCCCATGTGTCTCACTAATTACCTTCCGCTCTCTAATTTTTTTCAGCTGTTTCTACTTAACTTCAGTTAGTATTTATGGTCTGCATCTCCCTCTGTCCTGTGCCAGATCGTCTCGTCTCGTACATAGCTTACCAGTGTTTTTCCCAAGTCTTATTTCATGTTTTTTGACCACATTTCTGGATATAGCGACTTAGCCTTTGCGTCACGTTTTTTGGATACCTTTGCCTTGTCTCTTGCCTTTTTGTGTATAGAAGTGAATGGGATAAACCTACTACTGTTTTTTGAACACTGGATTTTGTCCAGTTGAGTTATGCTTTTGGGTCCTCAGTTCACGGTCTAACAATTCTCACTTAAAATTAATTTCTAGGACCGCCTTCTTTTACTTACATAACATCTAAAAAAAAGATATGTCCTGTCTCAAAAAGTTGCAGAAAACTAGTCCACGCCTTTGTTACTTCAAGACTTGATTATTGTAATTCATTATTATCAGGCTTGATAAGATGATAACATGTCTTGATAAGAACCAGGAAAAGAGATCACTTTTTTCATGTATAAGCTTCACTACACTCGCTTCCGGTTAAATCTAGAATATAATTCAAAATTCTCCTCCACACCTACAAGGCCCTTAATAATATGCCACCATCATACCTTAAAGAGGTCATAGTTCCATATCACCCCACTAGAGCACTGTGCTCCCAGAATCAGTCTTACCTGTCGCCCCTAAATTATCAAAGTAGAGGAGGAGCTTTCAGTCATCAGGCTCTTCTCCTGTGGAATCATCTCCCAGTTTCAGTTCGAGAGGCAAAACCCTCTCTACTTTTTAAAGTTGGCTTCAAACCTTCCTTTATGATAAAGGTTATAGTAAGCTGGTCCAATTCAAAGTTCATTGCTCTTCAAAAGGGTTAATATTATGAATATGCTATAATATATCACTGATGGTTGCAAAATTATGACTATAATATAATTTATGACAATTATTTCTGGGACAATATATCACCCAACAAAATGTGGCATCATGACAGGCCTACCTTAGGTATACAGTTTTAGTTCTCAAATTTAATCAAATAAAACCGAAACCGTCAGTGTGATGGTGATCAGTGAAAGAAAAACACACAGACATTAAGACACAAAAAAGACATAGAGCTTCTGCAACAGGCTGCCGCTTGGCACAGCACCATCTTGATTTTTTTCTATTGTAGCAGTTGATCAATGAATGTGAGGCTCACCCTGAAATGTTGTTGGTGGAGACACTCTTAGACAGCGACAGATTGGAGCGACCTCGGCGGGATCCCAGCAGGGACTGTCGGAAGCTATCAGAAGGGTAGATGGCTGAACTTGGGCGTTCACGCATTCCTGGAGCTATGGAAAAATGATGATGCAGTAAGAGGATTAGGGAAGGGAGGGCAAGACAAGGGACAAAACAAACTGGAGTAGGAGGAGGAAAAAGATTTTGATAATGTAGAATTGGACCACATTTTGACGGCTATAACTGACGTGATAGAGGGGTCGTACTCTAACTAGAAGGTCGGCGGCTTGATCCCAGTCTTCTCCATCTGCATGTCAAATTGCCCCTCATAGAAAAAGTGCTTACCATAGATGCACAATATGAATGTGTGTGTGAATGGGTGAATGGCAATAAACTGTACTATGAAGCATTTTAAGTGGTCATCAAGACTAGAAAAATACACAATACTATATAAATACAGACCATTTACATTTACATTTGATGAGGAAGAGAAAAGTGTCAAGATGAGTAATGAATGAGGTAGAAGGAATAGATTGAATATGTCTTACTTCTTGCACGCAGAGTAACATTTTGCAAGGCTGAGTTATTCTTCAACAGGACTGTCTTCTGCTGCTGTGGCAATAAAGTACAAACAAACAATGTGTGATGTTTCAACAGTATGTATTTTTCATTTTGCACTTAAAAAAACAATTATGAGACATTAAAACACATGCAAATGTATGACTCTCATTATGACAATTATGGCTGTCCAATTTGTTTTCTGAAATTATTGATAAATGAACAGACGGGAAACCGTGTTACATGACTTTCAAAGTCATCAGATCTCTGTGCAGTACAGACTACACAATTTTGCTGTCATGTGATCAGGAGTCTTGCAGTTGCTGAGTTAATACGTCATGACTGACAGGCGACAGTATAGGTCTCACACTACGTGATCTTTCACCAGAAGAAAGCACCAACTAGTATGTCTCCAAACTACGTTTAATCAAAAAACATGTGTGACACTGAGTCTGTCTGATCCTCCAGCTCCTCTAGTGTTACACCTTTCCTCCAGTTTGATATAACAATCTTTGAGCAGGATGACACAAACACACAAATCATGGCAATTACCCTCAAATTTTCTATTAACCATGTCATTTGAAAAATAATAATTATAATAAAAGCTGCAAGCAACAATGGTGTGCTGCGACTGCGATATATTTGGTTGACACGGCTTGGAATTGCAGTTAAATGTCACATCCTGTTGAGGCGTGCATCCTGTTACTAGTAGGTAGTGATATGATTATGTTGAATTTTAACATGTAAATGTGGTCATGCAAAGTAATCAAATATGTTAAGTCTTGTGCAGATTTTTCATTGTTGAGGTTGTTTGTTGGCCCTGACCAAATTTATAATTATCCTGTTGGAGGGCTTCTGCTAAAAGAGAAAAACAAGCAAAAATTATACATTCCATTCAAAAATGGACCTATTTTCACACATGTTGAAGAAACGTGCCACCAGGACTGTCAAGCCATTTTACCACCGTCCAATGTAAAAGATACACATTGAGATTCGCAGTGTTGCAACAGTAGCAGCGTTCAATGCAAACAGACAATATTCACTTCATCAACCTCTTAATATAAGGGTCTTTAAATGGTAAAATTTATATAGCACTTTTCTAGTCTTGAAGACAACTCAAAGCGCTTTACACTACAGTCTGCCATTCACCCATTCACACACACATTCATACATACATACAGTGCATTTAGAGTAGCACTTTTTTTTATTGTTGTTCTATGGGGCAATTCGGGTTCAGCATCTTGTATGCAGATGGGAAGACTAGGAATTGAACTTCCGACCTTCTGGTTGGAGGAAGACTGCTCTACCCCTCAGCCACAGTGGTTCCCAAACAGTGTGCACACTGGTGTGCCGTGAGGCAATTCCGGGTGTGCCGTGGGATTTTGTGACAACCATACGTTATTATTGCAATATACAACTAGACGAAAATATATATTTTTTAATTTACTATATTAGAACTTTGTATGCACTCATTTCATAATACAGAGGCAAACTCTATACCTAAAAACAGTTCTTTAAAAAAAAATCTTCAGAGAACCCCATATTTCACTGTTAACGCAGTTGCGCAGGTGGGAATTATAAGACCGTGACACATCATAGGCTGAAGGAGAACATTAAAAAGAGAAACACGCAAGATGGAAAATGGAGCGCTTTCTTGTACGGAGCAAACCACCAACCACCAGTGCAGAGACTTAGCTAATGCAAACATGGTTCCAAGCAAGCTAAAGAGGCACTTGGAAACCAAACATCCCTTCCATGTTGAAAGAAACTTGGCTTACTTCAAAAGAGCGCATGATCTGAACCAGAGGCATCAAGACCATTTGTTGGATTGTGTGAAAGTGTCTGAAAAGGCAATGGAGGCTAGTTACATGCTAGCGGAGCTCATCGCAAAGCCAAAGAAACCTCACACAAAAGCGGAGACACTCATCCTCCCCGCTTGCAAAAAAAATTGTAGGTGTCATGCTGGGTCCAGATGCCGCAAATGAGCTATCCAAAGTGCCGTCGTCTGATAATACAATCAAAAGAAGAATCGACAACATGTCAGAAGACATTGAGCAACATTTGACAGAGAAACTGCAGGCAAGTGGCAGATTTTCCCTACAAATAGACAAATCCACCGACATAAGTGGGGCTGCCCAACTTCTGGCAAACATCAGATATGTTGATGGTGACTCTATCAAAAAGACTTTTTTCTTCTGCAGAGAAATGGAAAGCCATACTACGGGAGATGAAATATTCAGGGTAACCAATAACTATTTAAAAGAGAACAGTCTGACCTGGAATATGTGCGTCAGTCTTTGCACAGATGGTGCGGCAAGCATGACGGGGAGATTGAAAGGATTTATTGCTAAGGTAAAAGCACAGAACCCACATATTGTGACAAACCACTGCATTTTGCATCGAGAGGCATTAGTTGCCAAAACCATGCCCCCGGAGTTGACTGAGGTGCTGAATCAGGCTGTGCAGATGGTGAATTACATCAAATCAAGGCCCCTGAAATCTCGCCTCTTCTCCCAGCTGTGCGCTGAGATGCGAGCCAACCACCAAAGCCTGATCCTCCACACAGAGGTACGTTGGCTGTCACGGGGGAAAGTCCTATCCCGTCTTTATGTGTAACGATCTGTTC